CTCAGAATTCCCACGCACAAATGAAATTAAATCGCCCTCAAGCGCTTCAAACATGATAAAGTGAGTGTTTCCCCTGTTGTGCTGTCTCAGATTCATTATGGTGATATTTGCTCAATAAATGTGGTACAACACTGCGTCTCTTCTCAATGCTCATAATAGACACATATGGAATTTAATCACCATGTATCAGAGTGTATGATGTTTGTGTGTATTTCTCCTGAATTTAAATTACAACAGTTCCTCCTGGCAATGCATCTCAAAGTAATTAATCAAATATTAGACAATTATAATATAGTAATTATTGAGTTGTAAAAGAACCTTCTGTGACCTGTAATAGACTATTTTTTCAAAAACTTCAACCTTTCCATTAATTAGGTTGTCGGAAAAACATACGATAACCAAAATAAATGTGCTGCAATGTTGTCAGCGTGTTCTCCTCAGTTGGTATAAAGTGCTCCAACAGCAGCAGGGTGAGGCGTTGCCTGAGCTCCTTCTCACAGTTCTAGCATTGTATTTAAAGTGCTGCACTGTCTTGACACATTAATCTGCCACAACAGCTACAGTCTATTTGTGGATGTGCTGTGAAAGTTTCACTTTGGTGGTACAGTGTTATTTTTAGTGTACACCCTTTGGAGGAGGGGGGACATTATAATCAGAATTTAGGGATGCACAATATAGATTTATGTTCAACCAGTATAATAACTAATAATTACCTGCTTTTTATGGCCGATACCAATAAGATAACCAATAATTTTGCATTTTTGTCTTTTAAAAAGAAGTTCATAACCTGTAGTTTTTACACACCTGAGGGTAAGAAAGGCTGAGATGTAGTGAGCAAAGATTGATGATTTAATGTGTCATAGCTTTGTTCTAACCAAATCTAACTGACCTCACTATTGTTAACAATAAATTAACGACAGTTCTGAATCTTCAGATGTTTTTATTGTAGAGTTCATCATAAAACTTTAAACACATTTGGGCTTTCATAGAACATAAAGTCTATCAATCATTTTGCATAAGAATACCAAATAAATTATTATTATTATAATTATCAACTGATAAAATAAATACAATTAATTTCCTATTATCGGACAATAATTTATCTGTCTCGATAATTATCAAGCATCCCTATTAAAATGAAAAGTAAACTATCAGAGATCAATCACTTTACAACAAGAATTTAACATAATTTTAAAATCTTGTTAAAGAGGTACTCCACAGTTAAACGTGTTGAGCTGTAAAATAATTTAATGGCAGTAATGTGATGAAAGACAATATTTAGTGTTAATATTGACATCCATACCGGAGTTATACAAATCTGCATTTGATGGCTTGAAATGGGCTTAAAACGGCATCTACTATTTTAAATCACTGTTAACCCGAGCTGCTCCTTTTCAAATGTATCCTGATCGAGACGCATCATTCACAGGAGATTATGCTAGCTTTTGGGAACCCTCTACTTAGTATTTTTCTATTTTGTTCACAATGGTTTGGACTTGTGCTTTAGAAGCTGTAGAAGCACCCGGACATTATTTCCCCTGATGATGATCACTCTGGTCGATGTTGAGGCCACGCCCCTAAAGTCACTGTCCTTTGCTGGTCTCTGATGCATTTTTAAAATTTGCTGAGAGGGAGCAGAACTGAGGGGTGTAGCTGCATTTTAAATGATCAGTTGTAGCATTGGATGAATATGTAATATAGCATCAGTTGCTATGTCAGAGACAGTGTTTGCACTTTAAAGTGTCAGTAGGTTAGAGATGAAATCAGAGTTTGTGATATCACCCACTCTGATTTGAACATTTTGCACAAAACACACTAATATAATAACCTGAGAAGGTCTGGAAAAAAAGGAAAGTCCAATTATTCAAAAACTATGAAAGGTAGAAAACTTCTGAAGCTGAACTATATACGCTGAACTAATATGATAAAACACAAGGAGTGGTGACTGGTTAAAAGTTTAAAAGTTTTAAATTAAGTTTCTAGTTGAAAGTATTAATGACTTTGAAGAAGTTGAAAATGTGTGTGCATCGCTGAGGGTGAGCACACTAATAAATAGCCCATGTGATTGGTAAGTGATTGTTTGAGGGGAGAAAAGCCATCAAATCTGTATTCTCTGTCAGTGACATTCCCACTTTTACTACACCTCATTTTCCACTGACTGCCCGTGTTATCGGCTCTCGCTATTTTCCAATTACAGCTTGAGATAAAAACCAACAGATTATGCAGCCATTTACGACCTGGATTTTCTTACTTTGAGTTATTTCACATATTTGTCCCACGGGTTTCTTTTTGAATTGAATATCATCGGCCTTTCAAAGGTTTGAGTGGAAGTGTCTGCTGTCCTTTAAGACAGCTAAAATGAGAAATATAAACACAGTGTGAGTCAGGTTTTAATCTCCAGGCTTTGCAACATTTCACACTGTGTTTCCTCTGGATTACTCAACACCTTGTGGGACCTCCACTGATATTTGCAGTATGTAAGACATGGGAGGATGCACAAATTAAATGAACATGCAGTTCTTAGGGTGTATCTGTTGCACTTGGGTGGGGAAAGGAGTAACACGTTACAAAAAGGTTATTGGAAGTTCATGTGCTCATATCTAAATTTCTTTGGAGTGAAATGTTAAGTTCTCACTCTCACAAACAACTTTGACATGTTGCAACAAGATTTTAAAAGGTAAATAAATGCTTTATATGGTGCAAAATAAAAAAGAGAAAGAGAAATTCTGAACTGAACTGGTCACAGCTGAGGGTCTCCTCTTAATTCCTCGGCTCCCTAACCAAACTTCATTGTGATGAGGATTATAGCTGGTGGAGATAAGTCAAGACGGATGCTTTTCAGAGGAGCTTTGAAAAATGAAATGCAGTCACTGGAAATGTCTCTAAATATAGTTTTTGGAGTGTTTGGGGATTTATCTTTAACCAAAATGCACAGAACCTTCACTTTCATGTGTGCACAGATTTACTGTAAATAGGACAGAGCTCGGTTGGTGTCAGTGGGGAAAACTTTCAATCATTAAATTTTTATTCACAAAAACTAAGCCTCGAGGTGTTGGAGCTCTTCATGGGCACAGATGGCTGCACAATACGTGATCTAAAAAGGTTTACAAATGAATGTGTAAGGATCAACTCAGGAACTGATTGGAAATTGATAGATAGCTATAGTGGTTGCTGATAACTCTGAATCAAGCATGATATGCTTGAGACAGACTGCAAGATACTGAGTTAATAAAGTGTCTGAAGGGAATGCAAATAAGTCTAACCACTAGAAACCATGAAGCCCAGAATATGAATACCTGAGGCTAAACTTCTGTATCTCCAATCATAAAACACATCAGCTAATTACCAACAACTGTACAATGTTAGGAACGGGCATTGCTGCCGGGATGATGATGCCTGCTTCTGTGAGGATCAGATTATTGGATTTCTATCAGAGTTGTAGGAGCGCTCATAGGTTACACCACTTCTTTGTTTTATTTTGAAGGACGTCATTGTGCGGAAAAAGGAAAACAGACGTAATTGTATCTTGACATGATATAATAGACCTTTTTCCCTAGGGCTGCCTAGGGTTTCCTAGTCACCAATAGCAAATAGTCGACTAGTTGTTGCATAATTATAATATTAATTGAACTATTTAAATATACATATTTAATATAAATATACATAACAGCTGCCAGTTAAATGGTAACAGGTAAAAGCAGTAATGTCTCTGAATGTGAATCGTAAATCTGAATTTTGGGGAGAAAGGACACAATTAACAATTTCGTGCGGGAGAAGCAGACGCAGTAGAATCGACTAACGGTTAAGTCGACTATTAGGGGCAGCCCTATTTTTCACGGCCACCTTTTTGTCATGAAATAGTAGGGTAAACACAGGTGTTACCACTGACACTTGTTAAGGTCCTGTTCACCTTCTGCTCAACACCTTCACCACCAACTGCAATCATTAATGTTATTTCACCTTTCTGTGCAGTAACATGTCAAAATGTCAGCTGTGAAAAATTAAAAAAGGTGCACTACCATCTTCGTAGGTGCCTGGTGCCTTGTCTGAACTGATCACTTGTGAAACATCTCTACAGAATTTTAACCCCTTTCTAAGCTTCTGTTAAACTACTCCTACAATTAAAATGCTGGATTTTAAAACAGTCTTCCCTGTTAAATTGAAAACAACATAGATATGATGCAGGTGTTCATCTTATATTCGATTCCCTTACATGTATTTTTACATTACATTATCTACGCCTGTGAGTACACATTGTGTGCTTTAACAGAGTAAAACACTGGAAGGTCCAATGTTGTGACAGTTCATATGGGGAGAAACCTGCTACCTGTGCAGCTGACAGCTATGTATTTTAGGTTAGCAGTTCTGCTGCTGGTTGATTGACTGCTGGCATCTCTCACACTGCTACCTCAGTATTTCACATGCTGCAGTTTCTCTGGCTTGTATGAGTAACCGTCTAATGTATTTCTCTGCTAGACTATATTGTTCTCCTTCAGCCCGTCTTTGAAAGCGCATTCAAGTGCCACTCTCACCCCATTGAGAAGTCATTGTGAGGTCCATGCTGGAACTACTAAAACTCACTGTGCTGCTAGTTGTCATTGCAGGCTCTATTGGGATAATGGTTATCTTTAAAAGGTCCTTTGGATATGTATATAAACAGTGTTAAGAGGTCACACCCACTGAGTGCAACGGATAAAAAGCACAAAAGGCTGCAGTTTTCCTCATTCATGGACTATTACACTGGACACTGACAGTGACAATTTTATGCAAATCTTATAGACAGAGGACACAAAGTGTTGTGACGGCAAAATGAGCATTAGTCCAGTTATACACAGATGTTGAGATGTTTCCCTTTAAGTTGGGTTCCCCTTGATGAAAGAATAGATCCTATTTATTTTGAATTACTTGCCCCAATCTCATTGTTTCTGTCTTTGTTCCCTCTCACACTCCCTAATCCTCTAATTATGAGACTAATGCGTCCATTTCTGTGCTTACTTCAGGGATACACTACCGCAAGTCTTGCGCCTCGTCAGGAGCCTGTCTGATCGCTTCTTCTGGCTACCAGCAGTTCTGCACCGGCAAGCTCAACTCGGTGTGCATCACCTGCTGTAACACACCGCTGTGTAATGGACCACGCCAGAAGAAACGACCCCAACCGTCGGCTGCCAATACTCTGACCACGCCGCAGCTCTCCTCCCTGTTTTCTCTCTACATCCTCCTCCTACTGTCCTCCACCCTGTGCTGACAGACCTTCACACTGAGTTAAGATGTGTATTGAAACTACTGACAGTGGAGACAACATGAACTGGAACTGTAATAACTGAGACAGTGATGAATTCATAAATGTATTATTCTTTAAGGCGTGTGAAAGCTTTGTACAGTATTTGTTCTCTTGACTCACTGGCTTTCTGTCGCAGCTTGCCTCCAAAAAACCCCATACACCACTGGGAACATTTTATCATCACATGTGTCATGTCACAAACATGATCATGATGCAGCTTCAAGGGGAGCTGGGAAAGGTGAGATGGAGGACAGTGCCGTGGATGAAACAGCTTCTGGCTATTTCGTTGGGCAGCAGGTGGCTCGCTCTCATCTGTCTTATTTACTCACACTACAAGGTCAAAATGAGACAGGAAAGATAGTAAGTTCAGATCCATCATTTATTTTTTGAGCCTAAGCTCTCCAGAATAAATAACTCTGGTTTATTCTAAATCAATACTGTTACCTGGAACAATCATTTTGCTGTATTTATGAACTGAAAAAGACAATGTTATTGACAATGGTTTTGTTGAAAGGAGTCTGGGGAGAAAAGTGCAGTCAGGAAAAAAGGTATCGGATCAAGAAAGATATATGTGCCACTGATAATATTAAAGACAGCTATACAGCCCTCAAGCCTTTCACAGGTACAATATCATTGTATCACAGTGACAGCCAATGACACACAGTGGAAGCCATTAAAAAGTTCAGCTTTTATCCTGAAACTTTCCTCCACTATTTCTTTAATTGCTGTCTGCTCACAAAAAAGAAATGTAGAGCATGTTGAAATACACAAACCTGTTTCAGACTAACCAGTCTTCATTGTATCTCTGATGACTAAAGTTCGCATTGAGGTCGAACAGCAGCAGTGCAGTGCGTGGACTGCGCCAAAGTGTTTTACCCAACAGTCACTGTAGAAAGAGACTTTATGGCACTGAAAGTAGTTCTAAAGTTATCCTTTAAGTAATGCTAGTTACCAATGATCAGGGAGTATGTTGTATGGTATAGCATCGGTATGCATACGTTGACAGAGATTATATCAGAGCCAAATATATTATGACACAAAGTAATGTGAGGAGCTAAACTTTCAAGAAGTTGGTGATGTCTATCAAAATGTGATATTCAGTTGCTTTAAGAGTTCTTAGTTTGGAGATTTGACCTGAATCTTAAAGGTTCCCCGTGGAGTTTACTTACAGAAATGTTAAGATTCTGAGTTATTCTCAAAACAGCATCGTATGTGCCCTTGAAGTCTAACATACAGATTGAATGATATTTTTCTTTCTTATAAAACATTTGCAAAAAATTTTGTTCTTTAGATTTTGGGACCCGCATTGCTTACATTCATGTTTACATCAGCTAGCAGTCTTCTTCTTCCCTATCTTTGCTCATGCATTGCTAAGCTTTTTGTGGCTTTAGTGTCACCTGCTGTCAGTGAGTGGAATAGCAAGAAGCCGAGAGACGCCATATAGCTTGTATGTCAGGGATATATTAACAGAACTGAATACCTACTTGATGTTTAAGTGACAGCGCCCTCTAGCAGCTGTAATGACAGGAGTAAACAAGGAAATGTTGTTTTCAAGGTTGGTTTCTTTCAACCATGATCATGAAAATGTCTAACCTTAACTACATGTTTATTACTGTAACCACGTCGAAAAAGGTCCACAATGTACCCCTAACCTTAACAAAGTGTTTATTTATAATCAAAAACATGATATTATATGTCTTAACCAACTAAACCGTAACCATAGTGCTGTCACATCATGAAACTGATTTATTTTTACAACAGTGATTTGGAACAGTTTTGAAAGGCACTGACAAATGATGGGGTGTGTAAGAAAAGAAAATGCGCCTATGTGTCATTACATAGACCACAGGGCATGAACAACCAACGTCTGATTTAGAGAACTTATTCATTATTCAGTCATATTGTCCCTCAGTCAAGTGTCTAACACACGAACTCTCCGACAACAAGAGGCAGGATATGACTAATACTTTATTTGATATGTCAGTTAACATCAACCTCATGTACATGGGGACATTTACGTCATCTGGATACTGATTAGTTATTCACTTGAGGCACAGATAAAGACAGAAGATCTGAAACTACAAAGTTATTTGAGGGTGTTTGTGACAATTAATGTCTTTTTGGGCCAGTGCATGTCAAATGACCTGCTGTTCCAACTGAGGCCGCCACTCCAAAATCACCTTCCGGCTCAGTGCTGTTGTACTACACATTTGCAGTTCTGCCCTCTGCAGAACTAAAGCACAAGAAGTACATTAAAACAGTGCTCCATAGCACTGCTAGTGGCCAAATACTCCACTGGGTACCTTTACCTTAAATCAAGCTGTGGGGTCTTCATGCTTAACTGAACATTTGAGCTTTGTATAATCATTTTCTGACTTGATAATTCATATTCCATTAAATGTCTCTTTGGGGAGTCCCATCAAACTTGCTATTGTGCCAAATTTTCAGCTGAGCTTGATCTGTCAGTCAAATTTCTGACCTACTTTGTACTGTGTTTTCTGTGTATAAGGAATATCTCTGTATTTGTTTCTGATGGCACAGCACAAGCATCCTTGGTTTGTTTTCACTGTGTTGCATTAAATTGTACAGCACATTATACTTCAGTCTCTGATTGTACATCTGTTTTTCTTTTGAGATTTGAATCCGACTCTTCAGTCAGGCTGAGAGACATTTGAGTATCAGAAGCTATTCCAGAGTCACTTTGCTGAAAGGTTGTAAAGGTTTGAGGGGTGTTCTCTTGTGCAATGCTGGATTGGTTAGCCTTGTTGCGACGCAATGACTTCATCAGTAGGGGCCGGAAGGACTGTGCAGAGGCAGCGTGGGAGTTCCGCACGGTCCGCTTGTTGATGTGTTCGATGGTGAGGTGGCACCGCAGCACCTGGACAAAAACCTCCCTGAACTGTCTGGAGGACAGGTTGTAGAGGAACGGGTTGAGGACAGAGCTGAGGTAAAAGAAGGTGTCGGCCACAGGGTGGAGAGTTGCGTAGGTCCGGAAGAAGGAAATAGTCCAGTGTGACTTGGGCACGGCAGCAGTCATAAGACGACGAATCTGGTTGGGAAGCCAGAACACCATCAAGGATCCCACAATGAGACCTGAGGAAAAGTCAGAAACAAAGTCAGAATCACAAAAAAAGACCAAAATACCACTCTCACGTCTGTACACACAATATAAAGTTAGAGCAGGAGATGGTTAGCTTAGCTTCTGAAGACTGGAAGCAGAGAAACAACTAGTTTAGCTCTGTCTAACAAAACACACACAAAAACAGCATGTTGTTCTAAGGTGGGTTCTGTGCCAGACTATTTTTTGTCTGGGTGCAGTGACTTCCTGGAGTTGTCACCAAGAGGTTATAGCCTTTCAACCAGAAGACCGGGGTTTGCATGAAATGATGTGAAACCAAAAGTAGGCTATACGTTGAGTTATTTTAAGTTTTGTGTCATCAAGTGATTATGTAACATAATGTAGTTATTTTAACCTAATTATGTTTACGTAAACCTAACCAAACTGTGATGTTTCACAACGCTAACGACGTATTAAAAAAGGATTTTTGGCAGCCTGTTGCATCTCATACAGTCATTAAAGAGTGCTATGTGTGTCTTTGTGTGTGATGACCTGAGCTGAGAACTGGTTGGAGGTAACCACTGTAGATTAAACAAACGTTTTAACTACTGAGCTTTCGATAGAATAGGCTAGCTGTTTCGGCAGTCTTTGTGCTAAGCTACAATAACGTATCCTGGCTGTAGCTTCATATTTAGCATACAAACACAAGAGTGGTATCAATCTTGTCATCTAACTCTCAGCACATAACCGAATAACATTTTTTTTCCCCAAAATGTCAAACTATTTATCCCATAAGGAAGCGATGCAAGAAACAACACACTTTTATTGGAAGGTTACAGTTATGCTCTAGTTGTCTCTCAAAAAACAACTTAGCAAGCAGGTAGAAGTCATGACACATGATGGTGACATTGACCTCTACATTCAGTACTTAACAATGCAAGTCCAGTTTACCTGTTTGCTTTCTCACCTGCAGCCTGGTTAATGTTTTGCAAGTCACTGTGAACTCAACTTGTGGGAGAAGAGCTGATAGGGCTGATAGTAATGACCATTGCACAGACATTGCACAGTACTGCTTCTGTCACATCATCTGATATCAGAAAGGTGCCAAAGTCTGTTTGGCTTTGAACATCATCAATTATCGCTTACTACACCGGGCCATCAGTTCACCACAGTGTTTTCTCCCCCCAGATTAATTTCATGTAATCTTTAATAGGGTGCTGTATGAACTCCCCACAACTCTAAACCTTCTGCATAATGACACCCAATTGTACTTGAAGTCTTGACGCCAGTTTCCTCCAAACTGTTCTCTTCTATCAATAAACTGTCAGAGCCCAGTGAAGCACACAGCATCCCTCTTTCCCTTTAGGGGGAAGTAGACAGGCTGATCTAAATGGACATGATTGAAATCAGGCTCATCACACCCAATCTATTCCTACTGCAGGTGCTCCAAACAAGTGCCTTCATGTGTACCTTGGAGTACGATTTTACCACTGATTCACAAATTGAAACCCAGTGCGTTGACCTCCAGGACACAGGACGGCGTCTCTGACTTATCTCATCTGTCATGTCTGAGTCATGTGCTGACTCTTTGGAAGGACTAACACATCCTCATTCTCTAATCTGGTGTTTTTCCGTTTCTCCTGCAGTGTTTTTAAATGGGAACAGACCAAACAGCCTTTCAACATTCACAAAATGATCTGACTCGAGACATCTCTTCCTGCTGTGGAACACAGATATCAACAAACTTATTTAGACTACACCGACCGAGACTGCTGAGGGAATTATTTATCCCAGAGAAAAACAAGTGTCAAGCTCTCTTCACAAATAACCAAATGTAGGAGGTAAAAATTCCTCTTAATGTTTGTTTACATGTAGACTATATACTAGTGTTTGTTATTATTCATAGGCACCTGCATAGAGATTTTGGTTCAGGTGTTTCTGTTCAGTTTGATTCTCACTTCATGCTAATCTGAAGCATCAGCAAGCTTTGATCAATGCAGCTCTGAGTTTTTTAAAGATGTAAGAGACAGTATTCGAGGCCACGTTACTACTGACAACACCAAGCACGTCCTTACTAATTTTGTGGAAATTTGTGGATTTCTAGGGGTTTGTGATGTTTTTGCAGACTTTTTTAGGACTTAAAAGTGCAACAAATACTGGGGGTCATGAACATTGCAGTGCTGTTTGATCAACATAATGCTGTCCTTGCCGCAAAACATTGGAGCCCTGAATAAAGAGTGCCTCTGGGTTGTTTTTAATCAGTTTGAATAGATCTACCACATTGGCAAACCAAAAACACAAGTTGCAGTCGTGGTAGATATGTTTTTTACAGCATGGCTCGGTCAGTCTATCGACCAGTTTTGTGCAGCAATATCTCCCAACAGCTGTCTACAGATTAAAGACATTCATGATCCACAGAGGATGTATCCTTGAGGTTTTCAGCAGAGGGAGAGGCGTGAGGTGAAAGAGACACATGCATGCCGCTGTTTTAAAACCAAGTGGGCCACTGATTTGGCTGACATTAACAAACAGACAGCTGAGCAGCAGTATCACAGCAGTGGCTGTGATACACAGCCCATGGAGGCAATTAAGGTACTTTAAAACCCCTTAGCCTCTCATTGACCCAATTTACATGAAAATTGGTACTTCTAAGTCATAACTCAGTCTGAACACACAGACATGATACACATATTTTTAGATTCAGTGTGACTTGATATCATTAATCTGCTTAGAGAAAATGACCAGGACTTTCCTGAAAATCATCACTTTCTAAGTTTTCTTCAGAATTCAAAATTTTTTTCAAAAAATGTCCCTCATTCTTTTGTATTACTAGTTTAATTTCCCTTTTCCCAATTCCTTTTAGCTGAATGTCTAAATTCAGGATCATTCACCTGTTGCACTGTGGGGGACTGACTCCTAAATAATGACTGTAAATAATGACCCTTTCTTTAAGGCATAAGAGAGGTGGGGAACTGGACACTCACTCTGATCCTTTCCTCAGCTCAGTTCAGACCTCACTTTAGCGGATATTGTCAGCCAGGAACTCTTTAGGCCATCTTAAGATTTATTGGCTGTCTTTTTTGTTTTCTAACTGAAAGTGATTTTGAGCATTCTGAAACTGAAACCCATTTTGAGTGAATATTAAAAGAACTCCTTTCCACTAGGTTACCCGCATCAGGGCGGATCTTCAGGGCCATTCATGCAAGATCTGTGCCTGTGTAACGATTACCTGCTGCCTGCAGTTGTCTCGATTTTGACAGACTTCTAGAGCCACCATGAGGTTTACGTTTGAACATGTCATCATGTGGGTACATTGCAAACACAGCTGCAGTGTGGGGCCAGAGGCCAGTCGATCAGCCTGCCAATGTGACGCAAACCTGCTGGCTGTTAGGACATATCGGCCAGAGCGATGCATGCTGTTGCTTAGCAGGATCACTCGCCTCAATATCACAGATCTGGCTTTGCCAAATGTTTTTTTTTTAACAATGGAAACAAGAGGTAAATGGAAGGACATTGATCTCTACAAACATCATCTGCTCTGCTCCAATATGCACAGTTGTGTCTGTACTGACAAAAATAGACCTCAGACCTTTCTGTGCTCTGACATTAAAACTGTCAACTACATTATTTATTATTGAATATTTGTAATCTTGCAAGATTGCCTTTATTTCCACTTTCCAATAATTAATTAGATCCCAAATTCACTTTGTCAGTACATCAGGTGTTGGCATTCAGTAACTAAAAATGTCACATACTGGAAGTGAAGAAGAAAACTGTTTTATTGATCTGACAGGCTTCATTATATCTGACTGATTTTTACACTTCATATTAGATGCGAGCCCTAATAGTTTCTGACTTTCAGTATCATTCCATTAAAACCCACTGAGCACAGAAGACATACATAAGTCCAAAGGAAAATGTCACTGATGATTACTGCACTTTAAGGACATTCATCGCCGTTAATGACAGAGTGAAATCAAGTTTGCGAGGGCAATAAAGAGGGAGAAAGAGATATTTAGAGTGAAAGTACAGAAACTGAGAGAGTGAAAATTGAGATGAAAACGACTTATGGGGAGAAGAGAACAAAATAGAAAAATGAACGAGATGAGAATACAAATGCAGCGAGAGATGGAAGAGAAATGACCAGACAAATGCTGGCTGTATTCAAGATAAAAACTACTTTAAATGGTGGCACAATGGTAATTGAGATACTGTAAATATATTCTTTTCAAAAACATTTATTGGTCAGGCTCATCCCAAATTGATGACTAAATGTTTAATGAAATAACAACTCCATTATTTTAATGTATGGGTCTAACAGGAGGTGATATTCATGGTGTTATTTAGCATCCTAACTGCCTATAAATCTAAACAAAGCCTGCAGTTTGGATGAGAAAACAAGCACTATAAAGTCTGAATGGCTATGCTGAGTTTTTAGTATTTTAAAAATGTTCCCTGTGACTGTTACACTATTATATATAATATCATTAGATTATTATGACTAATTTTACTGTTGTCGTTGGTTGAGGTGGAGCTCATTATTAAATGTTCAGGACTGCAACTAATGATTTTCATTATGGATTAATCTGCTGATTATATTCTCTAATCTATTGATTGCTTGAGAAATGCCACCACAATTACCCAGAGCCCAAAGTGACACCTTGACATTGACTAATTGAGTATCATTTCAGCTGTACTTGTACATACTAAAACATTATTGGTCTCATACTTTATTAACTCTCAGTTTTTGTGTGCAAAAATCTTAATTTGTAAAGTAACTAAGCTGTCAGATAAATGAAGTGAAGTAAACAGTGCAATATTTTCCTCTGAAATGTCATGTAGAAAAGAGTAGAAGCAGCAAGTACCTTAAATTTGTAGTTAAGTAAATGTACAATACCTATTTAGATCCATCCTGTCAGGTCCCACTGGTAAACCATGTGCTTGCTGTTGCCAAATTTAACTTTATAACTAATTAACCCCTTAAAAAAAAAGGAGGAAACAGGAACTTAATGAAGCTGTACACACACTTAAATCA